CCTCCTCTGTGATTAACTTTTAAAGGCTCCATCAAAATTGTTTTCCACAGTGGCTATACTAGTTTACAATCCCACCAGCAGTGGGTGAGGTTTCCAACTTCCCCACATCTTCACTAAGACCTGTTGTTTTCTTTTTGTGTGTGACCAAAGTCATCCTAGTGGGGTGAAGGGGTACCTCTCTGTGTATGCCATGAACTGCCAGAAGAACAATCCACTTTGTCTCAGAAGAAGTACAGCTGGAAGGCTCCTCAGAAGTCAGGATGACAAGAGTTTGTTTCCTGTACTTTGGGCCTGTTATCAGGAGAGCCCCATCCCCAGAGAAGGATGTCAGGTTTGGAATAGAGAATGGGTCAGTGGAAAAGAAGCAGGGTCCTAGGTGAGCTGGATCGGCACAGGGGCAGCAATAATTGTGAGGATGGCACAAGACCGGGCAGTGTTCCGTTCTATTGTGCATGAGCTGGAACCGACTCAATAGCCGTGAAAACAACAATGACTAAGGACGCTGAACGTCTTTTCCTGGTTTTTGTCTTGCCGTATCCATGTGCATAAATGCTGGGCATGGGTCTTCCCACCAGTGTTGATAGGCCAAGGACTTCCCTGATCTGGGGAAAAAGGTATTACAGGACAACAAGCCAGCAAGCTGAGTGTTATTTACACACCAAATGGCTATTCCAGCAAGACACCGCTCAGATGGAGGGGAATTATTCTCTAAGTTACTGGAAGTCCTGTTCAAGCACCTTGAAGAGAGCGACTCCTCCTCCCATGAGTGCGGATCCACCTGAGCACTCGTACTGTCTCTGCACAAAGCAGGCCCTCCTTCCTGTACCTGGCTCAGGCAGCGTTTACCAAGCACATGAAGGAAGGCCCAAGACACTTTTCCTGGGAGGTACCTAAGCAGTGCTTTCAGAAGTGCTTTGGTTAAAAGGGTGAAGCACCATCAGTGCTGGAGGCTGCAGGCAGATGAGGGTGGTAAGTGTGTGGGGTTGCCAACAGAGAGCTGTACTGCTCTACGAGTAAATTCAGTCAGTCTCCAAAGGACAGAGCACAGACACACATGCTTGTATGACAAGAACATGGCATCTGGGGGCTGCACATACAGAAGCACACAAGCACAGGTCCCCGTGTGGGGGCTGCAGGTGCACAAGTAGAAGAGTGCGGGTCCCCATCTGGGAGCTGAGGGACCACAAGGACAAGGACATGGGGCGCCATCTAGGGGCTGCAGGTACAAGTTGTTGATGTGAAGTGCTGTGGAGTGGGTTCCGATTCATAGCGACCCTGTAAAAGGTTTTCAAGGAGCAGCTGGTGAGTTTGAACCTCTGACCCTGTGGTTCAAAACAACCTTGTAGTCCAGTGCTTACCCTACAGTGCCACATCAGGATCCTGAGGATGAGAAAAGTGTGGGTTCCCAACGGGGAGCTGCACTTAGAGATAGAGATCTAAGGGTCGTTGATACACAGCAAGACAAGCAGGCAGGTCCCCCCACCTGGGCGCCACAGGGACATGAGCACATAGGGGTTGGAGTCTTCATGTCAAGGCTGTGTGCACATGAAGATGGCAAGAGTGCGGGTTCCCATTTGGGGCTGGAGAAGTGGGTCAGAGCACCCTGAGAACCAAGGCAGCCAGGCTTAGACAGGGCCAGGGAGACACAGGGCTGCACGCCAGTCAATTGTGCCAGCATCTGTGGAGAAGGGACTAGGGCAAGACTGGCACTGGGGAGGCTGTTCCGAAAATGCTGCCTGCCAAGGACTGATGAAGACATGGAAGGAAGTCAGTGGCCCTTGAAAATAAATTAAGAGCTGGTGACCAACCAGGACCCTGCTCTATTTAGGAATTCAAGGGGAAAGGGGAGACTAGAAACGCCAACTGGTTGGAAACCTAAAAGGTGGCAGTTTGAACCTGCCCAGCACTGAGTAACAAGGGCCTGGCATCAAGGAAACCCCCCGTAGTAGGCCTGATCTGTAACACATGGGGCCGCCATGAGTGGGCATCCACTCAGCAGTAATCCGAAAGGAGCAGAGTTGGTCGATGAAGCACAGAAGTGATGGCTGAAGCTGCCCCAGGCCAGTGACTGAGGAGAGACCACAGGCAGGAGCTTCAGGGCCGGAGGAGGAATGCTTCTCCCTAAAGCTGAATACACCGATCCCACTGAAAGAACCCTCAGCATCACTAGGCTTGGTTTACTTAACTGAATCCAGAGATGTAAAAGAAGGTGTTTGCAATTTAAGTCATTTAACTGGTAGGTTACTTTGTTGGGACTTCACAGCTATCCTTAAGAACTGCCAGAATGTCTAAGAATCTTGGATATGGGCTCGTCTCATACTGACATAAGTAATGTGATGGAATTAATAAGTAAACACTAACCCACCACTTTAAAAAGACGATTTACAAAAGAGTACATAAAAACTAACCTTAGGTAGACGTTTTGAAACATGAAGTAGGGAGTAGTTAACCTTGCATTCCAAGAACAGAGGATCCTAGGACCATCAAGGGAGAAGAGCACAAGAGGAATGTGGGACCCTAACCAGAGAAGCAGCGACACCAGAGATGGAGGCAGAGATGAGGACATGGAGAGAGGGAGCAGCTGAGGACTCTAGACTCATGGAAAGAGAGGAACTGAGAGCTGGTGGCCAGGAGGCAGGCTTGCAGAATGTGCCCTTTGATGGTTTAAATGATTATATATATTATATTGTGTACATTAAAACAAAAAACAACAACAACAACAAAACACACCAGAGGGAATAGAAGCAAATACTATTGAATGAGGGAGGCTGCATGGAGGGGATGTAACCATTGCAATGAAGTGAAGTACAACAGGGTGAGTGTAAAACTGAGTTTTCTCCCATGTAAACTATCACTCAATTCACAATATAAAACTTCAAAACAAAACTAAACACAACACACAAAAAACTAGCCTTAGGGAAAAACTGCAAAAACCCCAGCATGGTTGGCTCTCCAATTGGCCAGCTGTGTGATCGTGTGAGTTAGCTCTCCAATTGGCCAGCTGTGTGATCGTGTGAGTTAGCTCTCCAATTGGCCAG